TATCATCTATCTATCTATCTATCTATCTATCTATCTATCATCTATCATCTATCATCTATCTATCTATCTATCATCTATCTATCTATCTATCATCTATCTATCTATCATCTATCTATCATCTATCATCTATCTATCTATCATCTATCTATCTATCTATCATCTATCTATCTATCATCTATCTATCATCTATCATCTATCTATCTATCTATCTATCTATCTATCTATCATCTATCTATCTATCTATCATCTATCTATCTATCTATCTATCTATCTATCTATCTATCATCTATCTATCATCTATCTATCAAATAAATTTGATAAACAGAGTCGAAACATTGACTAAGAAGCCACTATATTCCATTAGTCTGAAGGCAGGATAAGAAGCAATGGATGGAAGCTAATTAAGGAGAGAAGCAACCTAGAACTAAGGAGAAACTTCCTGGCAGTGAGAACAATAAACTCCATCACAGGAGGTTGTCGAAGAAAAGATTTGCCATTTGTCCAGAATGGTTTAGGCCAGGATCTCCTGCATAAGCAGGGGGTTGGACTAGAAGACCTCCACGGCCCCTTCCAAACCTGCTATTCTGACTTCTCATGGTGTTCTGCACTAATATACATCAGATTGATAAGAATATAAATTTGCTGCTTCAAGCAAAACCTGGTGTATCAGTTTCAGAACTGTCCTGCTTACAGCCATGAGGAGTAAAGGCTGCAGCTTCCTATCATCCCAACTCAGATCTCCTCTGGTTCCTTCCTCTTCATTCTCTGGTGAAACACTGAATTTTCCCCCTTTGTTCCTCTAAATTCGACAAAATGGTACATTTCTGTGTTGACAACTAATACTGGAGCCAGGCAGGGTGGGAAGGCTCTTCTCCATGCTTGGATGAAGCAACAACTCTACTGTCACATGTTGAGGTTATTGCTAGTTCAGTGAGTAAACTACATAAGGCCTGGTTAAGCATATAATGGGAACACTAGAGTAGTGGGTTGCAAAACCCGTCGCTACCGTTTCGCTCATGCGCAGAAGCGTCCGGTGCGGGTGGGCGGAGCCTCCTGCCGCCACAGCTACCGGTTTGCTGATCCGGTTAGAACTGGTAGCAATCCATCACTGGAACGCTGGCTTTGAGTCTGATTTTCAGCTTCATTGGTATATAGCAGTGGTGGGGTTCTGTGGGTGTGGCTTGGTGGGTGTGGCATGGATTGGTGGGTGTGGCAGGGGAAGGATACTGCAAAATCTCCATTCCCACCCCACTCCAGGGGAAGGATACTGCAAAATCTCCATTCCCACCCCACTCCAGGAGAAGGATACTGCAAAATCTCCATTCCCTCCCCACTTCAGGGGAAGGATACTGCAAAATCTCCATTCCCACCCCACTCCACTGAAGGGCCTGGTGGCTCAGCAGACTGATAGCATTGTGATTAACACCAGCTGTCTGCAATTACTATAAGTTCGAATCTCCCCAGGCTCAAGGTTGACTCAGCCTTCCATCCTTTCTAAGGTAGGTAAATTGAGGACCCAGTTTGTGGGGGCAATAAGCTGACTTTGTATAAATATACAAAAGTATGAAGGCTATTGCTTAACACATTGTAAGCCGCCCTGAGTCTCCGGAGAAGGGCGGCATATAAATCAAATTAAAAAAAAATAATCCCCATTTCCTCCCGATCAGCTGGGACTCGGGAGGCAGAGAATAGATGAGGGCGGGGCCAGTCAGAGGTGGTATTTGCCGGTTCTCCGAACTACTCAAAATTTCCGCTACTGGTTCTTCAGAACTGGTCAGAACCTGCTGAATACCACTTCTGGTATATAGATAGCCCTTGACTTATGACTGTTTTAATAACTGCTCAAAGTTACCACGGTGTTGAAAAAAGTTACGATCGGTCGTTCCAGCATCCCTGTGGTGACATATTCAAAATTCAAGCAATTGACAATTGACAAGTATTTATGATGGTTTTAGCATCCTGGGGTCATGTGATCAACTACTTGTAACCTTCCCAAGCTGCTTCCAACATGCAAAGTTAATGGAGGGGAAACCAGATTTGTTTAACGATCATGGCAAAAAAGATTATAAAATCGAGGGTTACTCATTTAACAACTGCATTGCTTAGCAATGAAAGTTCTGGTGCCAATTGTGGTTATAAATTGAGAACTATCTGTACACCAATTGCAGCACTTTAGATTTTTTTTAAGTCCTCGACTTACAACAGTTCATTTAGTGACTGTTCAAAGTTACACCGGAATTGAAAAAAGTGACCGTTTTTCACACTTATGACCCTTGCAGCATCCTCATGATCACGTGATCAAAATTCAGATGCTTGGCAACTGACTCATAACTAGGATGGTTTGCAGTGTCCTAGGGTCAACAATGATTGCCTTCTGACATGCAAAGTCAATGAGGAAACCAGATTCACTTAACAATCGTGTTAGTAGCTTAACAACTTCAGTGATTCACTTAACCACTCTGGCAAGAAAAATCGTAAAAAGGAAGCAAAACTCACTTAAATGTTTCACTTAACAATATGTTAGGCTCAATTGTGGTCGTAAGTCAAAGACTACCTGTATGAGTCCTTCTTGCATGTACCTAGCAGTACAATCCAGGGGTGGGTTTCAAAAATTTTGGCAAGGGGTTCTTTGCCCGGTTGCTGGGTGGGCGTGGCCTAGTCAACCACCAGCACCACGGGGGGGGGGGATGTTTCACCCTCCCAGAGCCTCCACGCGTACCCTGCACTTACCTGCAACCAAAATGGGCCGTATGGGGACTCCTGGGAGGGACGGGGCAGGGTCATTCAGGAGTGGGATTTGGGGATTCTCCGAAGTGCACAGAATCTTAGCTAGAGGTTCTCCCAAACCCTTGTGAACCCCCAGCAACTCACCCGTGGTATAATCTGATCTCCTGGCATGCAAAGTTGGCAAGAGTTTTATTTCCAGCTCAGAGATCCATGCTTTTTGAACACAGAGGAAACAGATGCTTGAAAAATTCTTCACACAATTCCAGGGAATTTACTCATGCCTGAAAATCTTAACTTATTTTGCAGAAAACAAACATTAATTCCAATATCGAAGGACAACTGTTATTAACAAGGACCGAAAAGACTATTCGTACTGTCTTATTATTAAACTATTATTTTTAAAAAATCAGACAGTCTCACCTGTAATTAGAGATCCTCAGGAATGGTGGGCATTTTCCTAAAGTTCCAGTCCTCATGATTCTGAATAAAAGGCTGGTTTAAGTGGATAGCTGCTACATGCTGACCTTGGCATTGATTTGTTTACCTTTGGCTACATGAACTAACTTCACTTTGGTGGAGTCTCTCTTAGATTGAAGATAGTATATCCTACTTGGAGAATTTATAGGTTTAAGGCAGTTTTGAGCATGCTGAAAAGTTATAATCCAATTACTCTCTTCTAAAAGATTTCATGAGAATCAGCGACCAGTGGCTTCTGTTCCCATTTTCCAAGCCAATCATTTACCAGCCCAAAGTTCAGTGACACAATATTTTATGTTCCATTGTAAACTGAAAGGCCAGATTCAGTCACTGGCTTTGCCAGATAAGCTGAAAAACCACCGCTCCATGATTCCAAACGAATCCATTTTCTGGATCTGCCCAATACATGCAATAATAAATTCACAGGCCTGAATTCAGGCAAGTTGGACCACCTAAAAATAGCCCAAGGAAGGTTAACATCCATCAAGTTGGGAATGAACACATTGTAACAGATCTAGCTGACTCTCAGACAAGAGTAGAACAGCTACAGCCCCACAATATTTATATCCATAATTTACTCAACCCAGTTTTCTGAGTTTGTATGACACATGGAACAATAAACAAAGTTGGGATGACACATGAGATCATAAACTAAGTATGGATGACACATGGGACCATAAACCAAGTTGGGATGATATATGGAACCATAAACCAAGTTGGGATGATATATGGAACCCCAAACCAAGTTGGGATGATACATGGAACCATAAACCCAAGTTGGGATGATATATGGAACCATAAACCAAGTTGGAATGATATATGGAACCATGAACCCAGTTGGGATGACACATGGGATCATAAACTAAGTATGGATGACACATGGGACCATAAGCCAAGTTGGGATGATAATAGAACCATAAACCAAGTTTAGATGATACATAGAGCCATAAACCAAGTTTAGATGATACATAGACCATAAACCAAGTTTAGATGATACATAGAACATAAACCAAGTTTGGATATCTAGAACCATAAACCTAGTTGGGATGATACATGGAACCATAAACCAAGTTGGGATGATATATGGAACCACAAGCCAAGTTGGGCTGATACATGGAACCATAAACCAAGTTGGAATGATATATGGAACCATGAACCAAGTTGGAATGATATATGGAACCATAAACCAAGTTGTGATGATACATAGAACTATAAACCAAGTTTAGATGATACATAGAACCATAAACCAAGTTGGGATGATACATGGAACAATAAACCACACAGGTTGGGTTCAGACATACCCAACTATGGTACAACGGCCTACTAGTGAACAACAAATCCTATATTACCACCCAGGATCGGGTGGCCAGCCCATAAACCAAGTCGGACCCCACCCTGACATTTAACAGAACAGAAGTAACAGTTTCGGTTTATTCCGCAAAAGGCCGTTCTTGCAGCCCTCGCTTCTAAAAGGCCGGGCGGGGGAGCCGTCACAAAACCCGAAGAGAAGACACCTCCTTCTCCAAACTCGCCCGAAATGCCTTTAAAAATGTCCTTGCAAAGAAGCCCCCACCCCACCCCACCCCATTCCCACGACTGGCTGTTCTTTTCCTCCTCCAGAGAGCAGGCAGCCTGCGACCCCATTCCCTCCCCCGGTGGGAGCCGGGCGCTGAGAGGCGCCTCCTGTCTGACAAGCGACCGGGGGCGTCGGGCTGGAAGGAGGCGATGCCGCCGAGCCACCCGGCCTCACGCGCGCGGCCTCGGTCCCCAACCCTCCCCCGCCGGGTCCCCGCCTCACACGACGAGCGGAGGGGAGGGGAGGGCAGAGCGAAGGAAGGTGGGGAAATCGAGGGTTTGTCTGCGTGCGTCTAATTGCTATTACAGTAGACCAGCTGAAGGGTCAGCCAGGGAATATATTTATACACTCCGGCGCGCGCATGCCCGCCCAAAAAGCGCTCTCCTCAGCCGGGCCAGCCCCACTTTTCTTCGCTTGGCCGGCCTCGGCTGGAGACGCAGGGTCGGCCAGCTCGAGAGGCGGACGAGCCGTTCCAGCGCCGGGGGGGGGAAAAAGCGGCGCAGTCGCGGAGCCGTTCCGGTCGGGAAGGCGAGCCTGCCTGCCTGCCTGCCAGCCAGCCGGCGTGAAGCGCTACAAGGTGAGAGAGGCTGCTGAGGAAAAACGGTACCCGGCACGTGGAACGGCGGAGGCGGCGGGCGTTTTTTTTTTAGGCCGGCCTGGACCCGGGCGGGCGGGCGGGAGGGGGTCGCAGATGGCTTTTCCGGAGGTGCTCGGCCATCACCACATCCCGCGCTTCGGAAAGGCGCCGGGAAAGCCAAGGCCGCGGGACCGAGCGGGGCTCGGAACCACACGCGCGCCCGGCCGCCCACGGGATGGTGGGTGGACAGGCGCCTCTGGAGGCGTTTTGAGAATGGACGGGATGCGCGGGAGTCGCTCTGGGGGTTGCCGGAGCTGCAGGCAGCGGAGTGGAGGAGGGAGGGAGGGAGGGGGGTGGGTGGGAAAGAGATGCGGAAGGCACTTCCTTATTCCCAGTCCGGCTGGCTGGCTGGCAGGCTCCCGAGGAGGGCAGACTGCGCAAGGCGGGGCTGGACGGGCACGGCCGAATGTGTGGACCATCGCCGGGGCTGCGCTTCTGTCCCTCTTCCGGATTCTCGCCAAACGCGATCTCCTTCCATCCCTTTCGCGCAGTCCGCAGCCAGCGCAGAAGTGGACTCTCGGGGAGGGGGGGGGGGGCCGGCGTGGGGGGGGGGGGGGTGTCAGGCGCGGCTTTATTCGCAAATGCCTCCCCGTCCCGTCTGCAATCCTGGGAATGGGGGGGGGGGCAAGGAACGTTACTTCTATTCGACCCCACTTTCTATACCCCCCTTCCCCCCCATTCCTAACCCGGAGGAGGCTTTAGCGCCGATCCCTTTCGCGGTCTCTCTCTCCCCCCCCCCTCCCGTCCCTTCTACCCCAGGAAGGCTGCGGTTGAATTCGCCTCACGGCCCGCCAGGACACCTGTTGGCCGGTTTCCTTCCCCTTTTTTGGGGGGGGGGGAAAGGTGGGGTGGGCCGCTCCGCCCACCCTCGCCCCGGGCTTCCTCCTGCCCTTTTTGCTTCCCCTTCGCCTGCCTTTTTTTGCGCCCGCTCCTTTCCGCCGACGGGATCGCTAGACTTTCCTCAAACCGAATTCGCTCGGCCTGGGAGGTTGGGGGGGGGGGGGGGGGCGGGCGCCTCCCGTTCGCCCCCATTGATAGGCTCCTGGCTCAAGCCCCGCCCTCTTCGCGCACGCTTGTGTTGTAGGTCGGACGAGTTAACCTTTGAGAAAGTTCGCCGCCGGCTGAACGATCGCAAACGGCTCCTGGGTTCGCGCCCGGGTTTTTGCTGCTGTTTTGGTGTTGAATTGTATCCTACGGAAATTGCTACCTGCATCCGTAGGACAAGGTGGACTTCCCTCCCTCTTATCCCCCCCCCCCGGCGGATTCCCCACCGGGAAATATCCCCCGGCCCCCCAATTTACAGCATCTCCATCCGTCCCCCCCCCCCCGACGCCCCTTTTATGCGATCCAAGCTTGATTTGTTTTGTTTGTTTTATTAAATTTATATACCGCCCTACTCCCGAAGGACTCAGGGCGGTGAACAGGCACAGAATAAAATACATAAATATCAAAAGTTAGAAACAATTTAAAACCAAATTAAATAATTTAGCCCAAGACAATTCAAAATCCCAATAATTTAAAACAAATTAAAATTTCAGTTTAAAAAATTTGAAAGAAAGGGGAGAAAAGGGGATTTCAATTTCAAATCTTTATTGTCAGTGCACAACCTATGTACAATGAGATCGGTGGAGCTCCCTCAGTGCACCCCTCTCCCCCAACACAATACCACTCACCGTGAAGACAGAAAACCCCTAATCCAATAAATCATATTAACAAAACACCCAGTCCTATTGCACAGGTGTGAACATGTTACGCTGTGCGCTGGCCCTGCAAGTCCATTGTACTACCTAGTTATGATATTATTTCGCATTCAGGAGTCTGACAGCTCATGGATAAAAACTCTTCTTCAGCCTGTTTGTGCGGCTGGCTATGCTTCTATATCTCCTTCCCGATGGTAGGAGGGTAAAGAAGTGGTGACCAGGGTGAGAGTCGACATACTGACTTTTTATTTATTTATTTATTTTATTTTTTAATTTGATTTATATGCCGCCCTTCTCCGAAGACTCAGGGCGGCTTACAATGTGCTCAGCAATAGCCTTCATCCTTTTGTATATTTTATACAAAGTCAGCTTATTGCCCCCACAACTGGGTCCTCAATTTACCCACCTTAGAAAGGATGGAAGGCTGAGTCAACCTTGAGCCTTGGCGAGATTCGAATCCTGCAGTTATTGCAGGCAGCTGGTCTTAATAACCAGCTTAATAACAGGGGTTTAAGGCACCCTGTTATTAAGCTGGTTATTAATGCCTTAAACCCCTGTACTACCAAGACTTGATTGAGGAATCCAATGAACACAACTAACAAACACTACTTTGAACTTCAGTTAGCCATAAAATTCTTTTGACTTGGTGCACTGGGTTAAAACACCCGTTGCAGATTATTCAGTAACCATCATCAAGCCTTATGGCTTAGACTTAGAGCCATGCCTGAATTTAGCCATTTTTTTCCATGTAACACTATCTGGGTTTGCAACATGTAAGTTTGTACATAGCTCAGTTATGTCTATTCACTGCAACTGGAAATATTTCGGCTTTTATGTTTAAAGTCTTCTAAGAAAAAGATTTATTATTTTCTGCTCTGACGCTTGCCCATCCTTATTAGTGTTAGCAGTAAATATGTTTTTTTTTTTTAATGTTACCATTATTTGTATTGTGGTATACTATTAAATGTCTTCTTTCCAGAATTGGGAGTTTCTTCCAACCAGAAATGGGGCAGTTTTCTCTTAATTTCCAACACTCGGAGATCTGGGAATTGGTCTCGGCTTCTGACGGAAATCCTGTTTTTCAAAGCTGAAGATTGCATTGTGTGGGGATGAGACGACCAGGAGGGCGGAGAAAGATTGTTACTATGACTATTCTTAATAAATGAGGTGTTTCCTCTCCAGCATTAAGCAGAAGTTAATTCTCCTTCCTGAGAGAAAACATTTCTGTGACCCATAGGGAGTGTTCCTCCACCCCACCCTTTTTTTTTTTTTTTTTTTTTGTAAAAATGTTGATTTTAGACTTAGCAGCTTTTGGGAAAGGATTTTAGCTAAAAAGTGTTGGGGATAGATGTTGTGAATGCCGAAGGATTTGGATTTGGTTCCCAGCATTTTTGAGTAGAGCTGCGTAACTGTAAGAAATGAGCAGGCTGAGCTGGAGCAGAGGGTTAAACATGTCAGCAGTTTGGAAACATTGCGTTCCCACAAGAGACCCAAGTCCAGCCCCTCCCCATGAATTCTGTTGACCCTTATCTAACGCCCATTTGGCTTGACAGTTAGCACAGGTAGTCCTCAACTTACTATCACAATAGAGCCCAAAATTTCTGTTAAGACAGTAGTTAAGCCAATTTTGCCCTCTTTTACAACCTTTCCTGCCACAGGTATTCCAAGTGAATCACTGCAATTGTTAAGTTAGTAACATGGTTGTTAAGTGGAATCTGTCTTCCCCATTGCTTGTCAGAAGGTCGTAAAAGGGGATTACATGACTCACAGGACACTATAACTGTCATAAATATGAGTCAATTGCCAAGCATCTGAATTTTGATCACGTGTTCAGGGGAATACTGCAATGGTCATGTGAAAAACTCACTTTTTGCAGTGCCGTTGTAACTTCAAACGGTCAGTAAAATGAACTGTTGTAAGTCAAGGACTACCTGTAGTAATTCAGATTCTTGTCTATAGGTAGCATGGAATAAGCTTTCAGTGCTTTGAACTCTGCTCCTGTTCTTGGTTACTTGCACCTGATGGCAAGACCCTCTTGTAGAGGCAGTGAGAATGTCCCCGAAGGACAGCCAGAGAAAACTTGCTATCAAGACAATGGTGAGATAAGAGTGGTTTAAACCTGAGCCAAGAAAGTAAATTGAGAAAACGCCTGGGGCAAATCAATCCCTAATTCACATAAAGATAAGATGAGGGAGGGGGAAGCACATTCATACAGGTAGTCCTTGACTTACAACAGTTCATTTAGTGACAGTTCAAAGTTACAACAGCACTGAAAAAAATGACATGACCACTTTCCACACTTACAATCTTTGTAGCATCCCCATGACCGTGTGATCAAAATTCAGATGCTTGGCAACTGGTTCATACTTATGACCATTGCTGTGTCCCAAGGTCAATTGAACATCTTTTGCAGCCTTCCGACAAGCGAAGTCAATAAGGAAGCCAGATTCACTTAACAATCGTGTTACTAAACTGCAGTGATTCACTTAACAACCGGGACAAGAAAGTTCATAAAATGGGGCAAACTCACTTAACAAATGTCTCATTCAACAACAGAACTTTTGGGCTCAATTGTGATAGTAAGTTGAGGGCTACCTATATTTGCAAGTTTGTTACTTACAGCTGTTATATTACAAGTAATCCCTGACCTATGTGGAATTGCTTTCTTAGTCTGGTCTACCTTATACGGCTGAGATCTCTCTGAAAAATCCCTATCTGGTCACAGCAGATAAAAGATTATCTGACTTCTTCCTAGTTTTAACCCATTTCCTCATTCAGGGTCATTATTGCTAGGGCAGAGAGAATGGATCAGATTTAAGGTTTGGGGTCATGTACTTTATGAGAAAAAAGTCCCAATTAAGAACTTTTTTTTAGTCAATGTTAATTTTCCCAACCAAGTGCTTTCCAGATGGGCTGGGAGGATACCTTCTAGAAGTCTAATTAGCAAGTTTTCCCATCTGGCACTGCATTTTGAGGAAGAAATTCACATTATTTGTCAATCAGCCCATGCATTTTCCTCTAGCTAAGTTGATATCGCTAAGATTTGCACTGATAAGATCTTGGCAGGTCATCCTGAGTTGCCTAGTACCAGCTGTTGTGCCAGTGTGGGATGAAATGATAGCTAAATAGAACAGCACATTAATCTTCCAACTTTGGTTGCTCAGCTAAGGATCTGAGAATCCAATGTTTTGTTTTGTTGGCTAAGGTATCTTTGATTCTCATGCATTATCACAGAAACAA